CCCAATAAACTGGTTGCGAGTCACCACGACCGGACATTCCCCTGCGGCGTAGAAGAACAGCCCCAGGGTTGGCAGCTGCGAGTCGTCTTTCGTGACGAGAGCACGTCGCCCAGCTCTTCGACAGCGCAGCCGCTTCGCCGATTCGGTGTCATGCTTGGCTACAAAGATGGAGATGTGTTTGCCGTGGGCACGGGCCCACTGGACGACGAGCTGCCATGTTCAGGTCCTACCGGTCTTGGTTCAGGGGCGTGATGACTCTCAGACCGTCTACGAAGGACGCCTTGCACGACGGTGTATAAAGGCGTTGACTGAGCCGCTGGAAGTCCAGCTCGGTCTGCTCGCCGTTGCGCAGGCGCCCGAGGAAGCCCCGAAGCCTTGGGGCAACCATGCCGCGCGGAACCTGCTCCTGGAGGATGACAACGGTTGTGAACTGGAGGAACAGCCTGTGCGCTGCGAGATGCTTCGCCAAGCCTTCCGGTCTCTGTCCGCCACGGTCCCTGGGCGCCGGCAAGAGGAGGCTGGTCTGCAGGACGGGGTCGAACTGGAAGAAGTCCCCGAAGAACAGGACCATTGGGATCCCGCCAAACGGGTGATAACCCTCTCCGGAGCCAATCAGAAGCAAGAGGTCTACAGCGGGAAAAAAAGAGGGCGCGACTATACGATTAGACGCTAGTCTGGCTGAAGAAACCACCTTTCCTGACTTTCCCAGCATTCGACAATAACCATCATGAAATGGAAAAAAAAAAAAAAAAGACAATTACATCGTTGACTCCGCTATGGGGCCTACCTGCAGCCGGCAAGTTCCTCCAGGCTTCCTTTGGCGTGCCCGCGCGCAGCGGGCACGGTCACTCCTATAAGTCTAAAGGATGCCATTGCGGAGCCGCAGTCAACAATTGGTCGGAACCACACTCGACTCCATCGGGTATGGTGTAGCGGTAACATCGTTGACTCTCACTGCTCAGCAGTGACTGTTCTCTCAACAGCCCCGGGTTCGACTCCCGGTATCCGAGTCTCAACTTTCTTTTTTTGCGTTTTTTTGCTCATAACTATTCCTATCCACCCATTCCAACATTCCAGGTTTCGCTTCCTTTTACCGGTTTGCATCAAACAAACGACGCATTTGGTGGTTGTGCCACGGAGCCATACCTCGTCGGGAAGGGCGTTCAATATAACGCAAACTCCAGCGGAGTAATTCCCGCAACAATGATCTAATGCCGCATGATTGTTGTTCGCGGACCATGTCTTACAGACCAAAACGTGGCCAAGCAGCCAAGTCGATGGTAGGCGCAGTGTCACGTTAATATGCTCGTCAATGTTCAACAAGCCATCCATGCAAGGGCTAAATTGATGCCAAGCGGGGGATCAACGCTAAGCTTGATCAACGCTAAGCTTGGATAGGGTTCTGAAGCAACCCACTTTCAAGACCCAGGCCTTCTCGGGTGGAGACTGCTGAGGAGAAAGTCAGACGACCAACCGACCCAAAGGAAAGGAGCCACTCACCACCACTCACCGTCCACGAGTCCCACAACAGCACAAACTCACATTCCCCGTTGACCCCAACAACCACCACCACAACCTAACCACCTACCATTTGCAGATCAATTCAAGGTCACGCATTGCGATCATTTTCCACTGTGAGGCCATGTTGTGCTCGCTGACCGCAAGTGTCGAGCCCCCAGTGGCTCCCACGGAATCAAAAGCATGTCCGGCAAGTTGGCCCCTAAAGTCCAATCCTTATTTCCTTTTCATAGAATCCATCATGCATCTGGGCTTGGATCGACGGTTGCGGCGGTTGCGGCACAGCAGTTTTAGGCCCTCCAGCTGGTCGGGTCAACGGCAACTGCGCCCTAGTCGTTGCGGATCAGTGATCCCATCTGCCGGCATCATGCCCTCTTAAGCTCGTTCGACCTTTCCCAACGCTTAGAAAACCTCTGCTTGCGGCGCGGCACATGCTGTGGCTGGTCACTTGTATTCGCTTTGGTCTCCTTGCAGTGCCGCTCTCAGCCTTCTCAGTTTCTCTTCCTCATACGGTAATCGAGTGA